ATATATATACACACACACACACATACATACATACATACATAGAAGGCTCAGAAATGATTCATGAGTGAGGAGTGTGGTCCTAATTGAAGAAAATTTACATAAATAGCATAAAATATAGTCAAATTGACCCAGTCTGTACATCAAAAATATGACTACGAGAATCATGAGAAAATTCAATAGATCTTTCTTATGAAGAGCTAAAAATAGTATATTGAAATAGTCAAAAGATGAAATGTCAAGTCTCGCTTCCTTTAGTTGGAACACTGAGCCGACCGAACGAAAACGCAGTCGAACGAATGACTAGAAGGTGCATAATCTGAGGAGCAGTTGATCATGACCAGCTCCCTTAACCGATTTCAGAATTATTCACAAAGATGACCAACGGGCACCTCAAGGAGCACATTTTTGATCCTCTTAGAAGGCCCCTTGTCCAAGCAGAGTCGTCCGTCAAATCACGGCCCTCTGCTTGGTGGTCCAAGTGCACCCCATCGACAAGAATGCCTAGACTCAAGATTCCAATGATAAGGTCGATCAAGGATCTCTCAGCTGACCGAAGGTATGCCAAACAACCAAAAATTTTCACCAAACCGAATGAAAAGACTAGCGGGTCATTAAATGCCCCTTCAAAAAGTTATAAATACGAAATGGTACCAATGTCGCATAAAAATATAAAAGGGTCTCGGAGTCAGTTACAAATATGAAAAGACATAATAAAGACATGTAATGTCCCTATTAAAACAGGGATATACTTGTAATTTTATTAGATAACCCCAGAATCTATAAATATGGTATCATTTCTCCAATAAAAAAACCTAATGAATTTACTCTCTCAAAACTTATGTTACTTTGCTCTTACTCTCTCTCTCTCTCTCTCAATCTTTCTCACTGTTTCTCTCATTCGTCTAACACTCTATATATTAAGTGTGATCCACAATACATATTTGGATTCAACATCCTAAAAGATGTGGTGAGCATGGAATTATGTCATCAATAAGAAGAGGAGCACGCCACGAAGAAGGAGCTCATCGGGGAGAAACCTCAAACATGAAGTGTGTGAGAGAATTTTTGCAATAATAAATTCAAGAACTCTAAGATCAAATAACGAGTCATATTTCAGAATTGACTTAGCAGCTACTCGAGGGAAGAGCTCAAGCTCCCCAATAACCGAACCCTTAAGAAGAACCTGAACCCCAAGGCAACTGAACGGCTCAGAAAGGAAAGAGAATTAAGGAATTCGGGTACCAAGATAGTATTGGGTCTAAACCAAGGAACAAGCCATAATTTGGGCGAATGGAAGGTCTACCATCAGATGGAGAATGCATAATCCCAACAGATCTCTGATGTCAATACCTCAGAGAAGTTCAAAGTCTTATCTCTAGACATCTACAAAAGTTAGAGTGATCCAGACGAGCACATAGCTTTCTTTGAGTTGGTCATCTGCCTTTTTAAAATCTAATACACTAAAGTGTTGGTTATTCTACACCACACTAAGGGATTCGTCCTGCACGTGGTTTAATGGCCTCCTGCTAGGATTCATCACCTCCTTTGGTAAATCCAAGAAGATGTTCACGACATAGTCCCTAGCAGTTAAAAGTCTCATTAGAATTCATAGGCTCTGTGGCACATCAAGCAAGACATGAGCAAGAGCCTTCAAGCATATGTTAATCGGTTCCAGAAAGAAATACTAGAAGTGTTGAATTTAGAGCTGGTAGAAGCATAGGTCCCCCTAGAGCAGAGGGCTAAGAGCGAACGATTCAAATACTTGGTTTACGACAACCCGACCGTCTGGCCGAACTCTTGCAGTTAGTCAACCACTACATCATGATGGAGGAGTATGTTCATCTGCTTTACCAAAAAGTTGAACAATCCGGCCACCACTAGCATAAAAAAGGCCTTGCAAGATGATTGGTGGAGGTCCAAAGATGACCCGCGACTAAAATGTTAAGATAGTTGATGGTCTCATGAAGATAGAGAGGCTAACAAAAACTACCAAAGAGGATGATTTGGTTGAAAGATTGATTGTTAGATGACCGAGAAACACCAAAACTCACTCAACTAAGGATTTCAATGATGGAGTTAGTGGAGGCCATACAAGATAAGAAGTACTTCATAGTCTCTATGATGAGAACTAGAAATTTTCTTCGGAACACGAACAATATCTGTAAATATCATAATGACTACCATTACTATATGAAGGAATGAAAACAACTCTGAAATTTTGTCGGGGAGTTAATAAGGGTCGGGAAACTAAAGGAGTTTGAAACCCTAAGAGCATGGAGACAAAGGCAGATGAAAGTCCCAATAGAAGAGGACTCTAATGAGTCCATCCGAGCAATTGCTATCCACATCGATAGTGCCAGCTATCTTGGGGGCAGACCCGGTCAGGAGGGTTGATCATAAAACGCTATGGGTGGGGAACTGTGCATCGCTACCTTCACTCCGAAAGGGAAGCATCATTCCTTGATTATTTTTACTAATGCAGATTTTTCCCTGAAAGGGAATCCCTATGACGATGATGTTGTGGTCACAATGATGATTAACAACTACTAGTTGGGTAATATTTTGGTTGACACTTGCAGTTCAGAAAGATTCTGCTCAAATAAACCTTCTATAAATGCATATATCAATTGACAGACTGGTGACGTTCACAGGTCCACTTTATGGTTTTTTTGGGAAGAAAATCCTTAGAATAATCAGGCTATCAATCACCTAGGGGAGAAGGTGACATCTAATTCACCAACATGGAGGACTTCTCGATGGTTGATGCACCACCAATTTTCATCACTATTTTTGGTCACCCACAACTCAATGATTTTTGAGGTCTCTACATACAATGTCGCAGTAAAGTTTTCATATGACATGGAGATAGTTACCATTCAAGCCAACTTATAGCATTCTTGAACATATTAACTCCAAGTGGTTGACAATGTGGAATAAGAATCATTCGACATTCAAAACCAACAAGAGGGGGTCTCAAGATAGACAAAACCACTATGGAGATTCATGTCGCTAATGGAGATTGGGGTAAATTTTTCTTGGTTAGTGAAACTTTTTATGCATGACATGTAGATTTGTTGATCCAAACTCTCCTAGAATATCATGAAATTTTTACCTAGTTGGTTGCTGAAATTCCAGGCATCTGATTGAATTAGTATGTTACTGTCTCAACATCAATCTAGTCACCCCACCGACGAAGCAAAAGATAAGAACATCGATCATGATGCTAGTCGAGCTGATCCGCAGAGAAGTGCAGAAGCTCAAGGAAACTACATTCAAGAGGTATAGAACCCAACTTAGGTCTCCAATGCGGTCATGGTCCAGAGTCGAATGACAAATAAAGGATGTGTGTGAACATCACAACATGAACTCTGCTTATGTAAAAGATAGCTACCCTTTGTCAAAGATTGATGCTCTAGTGGATTTTGTAGTAGGTCATTTAGTGATGAGATTCATGGATACTTTCTCAGACTATCATCAAATTAAGATGCATCCAGCCGACATGGAGAATACAACATTCAATATTACCGAAGGCCTTAATTGTTATGATTCCCTTTTGGTTAAAGAACACTGGGGCTACCTACCAACATCTAATAGAAGTAATCTTTCAAATTAAAAAGAAAAAAACAATACTGAAGTCTATGTGGATGTTGTCCAAGTGAGAAGTCGGTTCGTCGAACAACATATAATTAAAGAAAATTTTCAAATACTTTGGAAATAAAACATAAAACTAAATCCACTGAAATGTACGTTTAGAGCTTTAATCGACAAATTCCTCAAATACCTCATAAAAGTACAGAGAAAATGTAAGCACTATTAAATATGTCTTCTCCCCAAAACACTAAGGAGGTGCAAAAACTGACCAGTTGAATAGTTGCACTCAGTCAATTCATTTCAAAGTCAAGCAAAAAATATGCAACGTTCTTCAAAATGTTAAGGAAAGCCAAGAGCTTTGAATGGTTAAACAAATGTGAGCATGCATGTCAAAGCTTAAGGCAATTGCTAGCTTCACAACCACAACTATAAAGCCCAAAACTAAATGAAGAACTTTCTCTGTATTTGAGAATTGGGCCTAAAAACATCAGTTCGATGTTAGTTTGGGAAGAGTTGGAAAAGCAATTATCAATACTATACCAATCGAGTTCTCAGAGGCACTAAGGTTAGGTACCATATCATGGAAAAGCTAAAATTTTCCTTAAATTTCTTTGCTCGTAGGCTTTGACCATATTTCCAAACGCATTCAATCAGGTTCATCACCGACCACCCTCTCAAATTCATTCTCACTCAGTCAGAACATTCTGGTTGGCTCCTAAAGTGGGTTGTGGAGCTTAGGGAATACGACATCACCTTGAATAATAATTAAAGCTCGAGCAACACTAGACTTTATATCGAATTTCTCCAAAAAAGGCAACCAAGCAAAGAAACTAGTACTGACAACCAAAATTGGACCTTACACATTGATGAAGCCTTGAGTCAATTAAGAGTAAGAATTGGACTAGCACTAGCTTTGAAAAAGATTTTTCATAGAGTCTCAATTCTTTCCTTTTAAGTGTATATCTAACATCCTTAATATTTCAAAAATACAATTTTCATTGCTTCGAATAGTAAAAGCATAATCTTATAATCCTATACTAAATATCTTAACTGTAGAACCAATCTTTATTATTTAAAACTTTTACTTAAGTCTACTAGGACAGTTCTAAAATCAAAAATATAGTTATTTAAAGCTAACCCCACATGCCAC